GCACGTGCATTTAGATTAAGTTCCCGAAGTTTCAGCTCCACAGCTTTTATAGGTCCTGAGATGAAAGTGCGTGACAGACGCACACATAGACACACGGACGCACAGACGACTTCTCGTCAATACGCGTTTTCTGCGTTGCATAGCTGCAAAAAGCGCATAAAAACTTTTTTTCTGTTGCAGGTAAAAATGGGTGAAGATATTGAAGCGACCATGTCGAGCCGTATCCAGAAATTGCGAGATCTGCGGGCGCAACTGAGTTTTCTGAGTCGAGCAGACGGGTCATGTGCTCTGGAACAAGGTGCAACGGTGGTCTGGTGCGGTATCAATGGTCCCGGTGATGCACCTATCAGCAAACGACTCACCGAACGCCTCTTCATCGATGTGGTTTACAGGCACGGCAATGCGCAGCAGCAGTCCGCTACCAAGGTTCTTGTTTTTATGGGTTTATTGCATCTATGCAATGCAAAAACACATTGTCGAGGGATGTCTGTGTGTGTGTTTCTGTCTGTACTGATTTTTCATTTCGAAACTTACAAAAGCTGCGAGGCTGAAACTTTGTGAACTTAATCTACATACATGTACGGACCCCCATTCCCCCAGTGGGCGCCCTCGCACATGTGATTCTCACGTACGAGCCCATCAAAGTTTTTGGCGGGTAAGCTGCTAACAGAAAAGCTAGAAAACTGAAATTTCAAGGGCATGTTTTCTGACAGTCCTGGTGACCAGTCTCAATTCTTTTAGCTAGAAGCATTTGTCGAAAAAACTAGAATGAGTGAAATGAGGACAGTATAAAATATTATTATTTCTTCATAACTCAATTTATAAAGCATAACTAAGACAACTGCATAAGACAATCAGTGATGTGATAAAAACAATACAATATAGTTATTTTTGCATAAGTTGATTTAAGAAAGTTGCTGCCGGATCTTTAACACTGTTGATGTTTCACATTTCAACTTCCAGCAGTCTTGTTCAGAAAAACTTTCAAATGTATAGTTGCTTTGTTCAGCTGTTTTACGTGCGCTGGGCAAGTTTTTGAAAAAATCTGGCAAAATTTTGAAAAAAAGTTGGCTTAAAAGAACTGATGTGATCAAAGTGGCATCGACAGCCTTGCCGGCGAGTGGTTGCTGTTGGCATTTGCTACTCTCGCTAAATATCCCTGCCTATTATATGGCTTTGACTGCTTACATGATTTTAAAAATATGAAGAATTTTAAGTTATTTTAGGCCACGCGATTAGTGAATGCTGCACTGGAGCATAGTGTAGACCGTGTGCAATATTCACGTGCTGTTCTCACTGTAACGGTGCATCAGCTGCAGGATGATGGCTCCACGGTAAGAATTCGTCTAAATACTCAAAAAGGAGAGAAACTTTTCGACAGAAAATTAAGTTGTGTGTTTTCAAAAAATTAAAGATGGCATAATGATGCTCTATACGTACTGATCGCTGGTAAATGAAATACGGCATTTGATGCGCCTCTACAACACAGAAAGTTTCAGAACGGTTAGCATGGCAACCCTAGAAATCGGAGCTAGTGTCTTAGCTTTTGGCGCAACGATGTATTTGGCAGTATGTCCAAATCGTTACCTTTATTAAAATCTTAAAAAATATCAGAAAGTGATAGTGGATTAATCAAAATACTGTGTACAGCGTAAACATTTTGAGAAGCAGTCTGCGCTTCTTCATCCCTTAGCAGTAAGAAGGCCAAACACCAAATACGAGTAGGAGCGGGAATCATCAGTGCAGCCTCCTGCCTGTTGTGTTGATGATGAGCATGCATCCAAACGTTCAAGATTTTGTACAATCAGCCGAATAATTATCTTTGGTAAGGCTGAATATGTTGGTTTCTGGCAGATATTTCCAATTTTGAGCGATATTTTTGAGTTCATGTGAGCGTGTGAAAAAAATATGTGGAATAGCTGTTGATTCAAAGCCTGGATATCCAGTTATTGCAATTTGGAACTTTTCCACCTTCTTTGACCAGTGCCTGATGATCAGCTGTTGGTCACTCTTGTGCTTGTTTCATCTCCTGCAAAGATTACCAGCTCAACGGATCTCCCGACAGAAGCACTTCAGTATCAAAGGATAAGTAGTGCTTATCGGTGGGAAACCTTCCTTCATTCGAAAATTATGGGGCAGGCAAAAAAACACTTTCACCTTCTGCACTGGTAATCAAGTTAGCAAATCGTTGCCTCATTCAAAATGCTATTTTTCTTG